ATATCAAAGGAACAAATTTTCCCCTGGGGATCAATAAAGTATTTCTGATTCTGGTTCCGATATTAACACCTCGTCCCGTTTCTAGGCTCGACGATAAGATCAGACCTAACACTCATAATAGACTTGCCACAAAATGTATTGGTCTTTCTGCTACCACAAGGCCGGGATGAGTCACAGAAACCACCATGCGCTACAGGAGCTGCCAATCCCCCACCAACCCCCACCCCGCCCTGCGCTCCTACACTTTCTAAACTTACCCAGCAAGCTCGAGTGTGAGTAGTTACAGTGGTTCCCCTGCAGACACAGGCGCCCTGTTTAGTCAGACTAGGGAAATAAATGGCTAAACACTTTCAGATAAAACATGTATCTGAGCAAATGTGCCAATAATATTAGGCAACGAACTAGTTGAATTAAACATCACATGCTTCCCTCACTAATTCATGTCCGCATCCAACTCCAACCCAGGACGTGAATTGGAGCATACAGGACTAGTTCACTGACAGATTCAACTCAATAGACTGGGAGGAGGTGGGATGAGGAGAACTAGGCAGTGTATTGCTGGATGAATAAAAAATGAAAGTGTAGTGCTTCGGTAAATTCTCTCTCTCTCTCTCTCTCTCCATCCCGTGCGGAGGGTGGGTGATGAAGGGGTGTGTGGGGTGTGTGTGGGGGGGTGACGGTGGAGTAGAGGCTCGTTTGAAAACTGAACCAGCGCTGCATTCCCACATCCACCCGTATCCAGCGAGGGGCTCTTTAAAAATTCATTAATTTACAGCAAAAATAGATTAAAGCACCCAGCTGAGCAAAACTCAAAATTTGGCTCCTGAATAACATTAATGATAAAACATCTCCCTCAAGCTCAGGGGGTTTTGCCTGAAGAAAGAGTGCTGGCTTTTTTCACCTTACGGCACCTTGAGAATCATTTATTTTCAATCATTACTAAAATAATGCATTTCTAATTGTCATTTTCATTTTTAATTACGCCTTTCTTCGGGTAAAAAAAAAAAAAAGGAGCTGTGCAAAAACCTGCATAAACTAATTAAAATCCATCCAAGGATCTGCCATTCCCATGATGCCATGCCAATGTCATTCTATTCACCATTTGATATCTCAGCTACAGAGACTCAATGACAGCTGCTCCAGGCCCCAAAAACGGCTACAACTGCAGTTACAGTAATTGCTCTGGCCAGCACTAAATGAGGTTCACTTAAGTGCAATTATCCCCCTCTGATCTCTCACATAAAGAGACTTCTTTAACATGGAGAAGTGGGCTCACACAATGTGACTGCAAACAAGATTCAAATTGGAATCAGGGAGGCATTTCCAGCAGATGAATGGCTTCATAGCTCATCTGCATTCTAGTGATGCAAGGCGTTGCTAATGAAGACTGAGCCTGTCCCTCCTCACCACCACGGCTTCCATGAGAGCAAAACTTCACACTGGATATAAGCAGAGTAGGGGGAGACATTTCTAACAAACCTGTCCAGTCGTTTGGCCTGAGCTGCATTAGACGACGGCCGAGCCTCCGCGCAAAGTAAACAGCTGTTTAAAAAAAATAAGAAGATTCTGTTTTTTCCTGCCCAATCCAAGGTGAAAAACTCACTGAAGGACAAGATGATGGGCGATGAAGTGAAGAGAAAGAAACTCCAACATAAAATAACTTCACGTTGGAGAGCAGAGAGGAACTGAAACAAGCCCACTTTGGATTCAGACCAAATATAAGTCGTCATAAAAATACTAAACACGGGGCCTTTGACCAACAGCATCACCACTACACCGTGCCAAAAAACTGTATCAGCCGTCCTCGTGAATAAATTGCCATCTGCCAATCGCATAACACAATAGGTTTTCAGCCTGAGGGGTAGGATGTGGCCGTCTAATAGGGGTTGCTACAGAGGGTACCTGTTGGGTGCTGTCCAACGAAACAGGGCGGTGAGGGGGGGGCTTGTGATGGGCATTCCTGTTGCCACAGGCTCAACCAGCACCAGGAGTCTGATAACTGCATCTCACGGATGGCCATTTGAATAATCACTTCAACAAGGGGAGAAATTAAAAAGCCTCTCAGTGAGACGGGGCTAGGCACGGGGCCACATCCTGAATTCCAAATGAGGAGCTTGTATTCAAAAAGTAGGAACGTGTTCTAAATTCACTCCACTATTCTGGCTCACTGACCCTTGACATCTATCCAAATTAGCCCCATATCATGCCATTATTCTCTTTAATCTATTAAATTATACACTATCACCCCCAAGCTGAACATTATCTGTGACACGGTGATGATGAAATGTCAATATTTATTTCCACGTAGTTGCTTCGTGTGCCTTGTCTCTTACAGACGATGACAAAGTCATTTCGATACACCAACGTGCTATCGCTGTCATACACACACAGATCACAAGAGGACCTTGGAGAGGCAGGTGTCGTGTCTTTAAACCATTAGGCAATAGACTGCTACAGGCTGAAACCACCATTAAAGAGAAGCTGCATCACATCCTCCCATTCACACTTTTAAATGGTTACTGTGTGAATAAACAGATCGGTAATCTCCTCTATACTTTCCCTCTATACTTGTCCATTCATCAAACCCTTGAGGTAGTTTTTAGAGACGGGATCAATAAAATCCTCCGCTCGGTGTGATTTGAGGTAAAACAGCAAACAAACAAAGAGGTCATATTGCTAAAAACACCTAGAAATCACCAAAAAAACATGCATAAACAGTAGCCATTCAGCCTGAGCCTCCTCAGTCAGGAAGTCAACTGAATAACCACATCACTTGTAAACTAACAGAATTTAATGGATGCTACAAGTAGCGCTCTAAGGAACCAATTTTACAATGTGTGTGCCGTGATTCATATGCACACAATCTATAAAAAGCATGCATTGACTGCGCTCCGGGTCCATTCTTTTAACAGCTAAATGTCATTTCAGCTGTCTATGCAAATTATTCTGATGCTGCATTTCAGATAGGTTTGAGTTGACCTAACTTATTGCACGTAAAAAAAACACCCACTCTTTCTTAAAAGCTGAATTCTATAAACGGCATTAAGGATCAAAGTAGTTCTCACAGAGGAGTTGAGATGTCTTTCGGTGTCAGACTGAACAAGGGACACTGAAATAAAACGCCGATTAACATAAACTGCACATCCAACTTCTTTCGTACAGCTTCTTGAAAAAGAACCAGAGCAGGGACGATCCTCAGACGGACAAACACGACTTTTTAAACAACACGAGAAATTTAAACTCCTCTGGCTCTGCTTACCTGGATGGCATAACATCAAAAACACCATGTGTCCTCTGAAGCTGCATGCACAGATAGCCTGGATCCAGACAGCTCGCTGTAGGCCTGCTATTTAAAGGATGGGTGATTAAGAAGCAAACCAGGTCTGACCTTTGATTGTGGGTGCTGACTAACGCTATGGGCATTTTGTTAGTTGGAGCAGAAGGTCTGGCAGGGTTGGGATGTTCTAGGGGAATTTATAGTGTTTTGTTTTAGTCATAAATTCAACCTCTCTGCTGGCTTTGTGACCGAGTAAACTTAACCATGCGAGTGTATGATGACTAGTTAATAATTTGCACCTCTATCAATAAAAACGACTGCGTGACTTCATTGATAAAAACTTACACAAGTTGACAGCGGGGCAAATGAAGAGTTCAGTCCATCCATCCTCTAATAATAATAAAAAAAAGGCCCGTCAGGACGAAAGCAAGGGCACAGGTTTTGAATACAGCTGCACGCACATGCCACAGCTGTTTACTTTAAAAGTCGTAGCATTAACTCATCAGTGTCTGTCCGTCCTTTTCGATCACACACACCAACTGGTGCAAGGCATCAAAGCCCAGAGGAGCATGCCCCGAGAAATGTCTTGCAACACAGGACCAAATACTTGAACTGCAACGCCGCCTGTGCCATCTCAGTTGAATCAGCGAGGGAAATACCACCACCAGAGGCAAGAAGGCAGCGCAAAGATCACATTCAGGGGCATAAAAAAAAAAAAATACACAATTCACCTGAAACATGCTTTGCACTTGTTGATAGCCCAGCCACATGACAACCCTGCTTCCCCTCTCGTTACAGGTCGACCGCTTTACATACGAGGATCATTATTTTCTTACAGGAATTTATTAGCCGCCTGAGAAACAAGACGATTGACAGACGAGAAAAAAAACACACTGCAACAGCTGTGAGTCAAATACCATCAGAGCACGCAGGAAAGCCAAATGACACTGGGTTCACACACACACACACAC